GGCCCCCCCCCCCCCCCGGCCGCATCGTGCGGCTCCCCCGACAACTCTGGAATATGACGATACGCATACTGCCTTGGAGGGCGCGCCTCTGCGATCTTCGCAGGTTCTTGGGATTATGGTGGGAGTGGGCGTGCACCCAGGACTACATCGGGCAAGACATACGAGTTCTGGAGGTTGCGACGTGCAGCGTGATCGGCGTCCCCAGGTGCGCAAAAGGGGCATCCCAACGTCCCCACCAAAGCGTGTGTGTGGTCTCTGTCTGTCTGCCCTTCAGTGAGGACGAGATGGATGAACCCCTGCTGTCGGCAGAACAGTAGATTCTACTCACAAGCTCCAATTTCCAGATGCTTCTTTCCTCTGCTTTTTCTTCTCTTCTTCGCAGCCACAGCGACTTTGTTCTGCTTCTTGGCTGTTCTTCCTTGTCGAGTGTGACGCCCACGGCCCCGTCAGCCGCAGCAAAAGCCGCAGGCCGGCAGCCACCGACGGGACGATGAAGGAGCTCACGAGCTTCATAGGCAAGTGAGTAGCCGCACAGACAAGTTGAGTGAGACAGGCGTTGGACGCGCACATTTGATCCTCACACACACACACACACACACATTCAAATTGCCGCATTGGTCGGTCTCATCGCTGTCCCTCTCTCTCTCTCTCTGTGTGTGTGTGTGTGTGTGTGCATGTGTGTGTGTAGCATGTGCGTCCCCCATATCGCGAGTTGGCGCCCGACTGCTCCTCCCTGGGAGCACCCCAAGAACCTTAGGCACACACACACACACACACAGACAGAGAGAGAGAGAGAGAGAGAATGAATGTGTCTGTGTCATGTTTGTTCAGGAATGCCCTTGCCGAGTTGCTGCTCAACGGCCGCCTGTGGAAGGGTCAGTGACATCAGTCAGCACATTGCCAACCATTCAGTGTGTCGTGTACGACATCGGCAGGAAGATGCCATCTCCTGTGCAGTGATGCATTGTGTCTGCTGCTCATGTTCTTCTGCACACAGAGAAAGCATTGTGGAGGCCGGTACGCATGACGACGCCACACAATGACGGTCTGCGCACATGCTTGATGTATTCGTTCGTGTCTTGTCTTCGATTTAGAGCTGACTGCTGCGTCGTTGGACGAGCGCCGTGCTGTGCTGTCCGCGGGCACACGCACATCCCGCGAACTGCGAATCACCACACAACGAACATGCGGAGAGCAGACTTTTCTTTTTCTGTCGGTCACACATTGCTTTTTGCCGCACCTCTTCTTAAGATGTGTTGCAGATCGCTGCTTACATGTTTTATTCCGGAGACATTCTGTTGCGTCAGCTGCTTTCCTGCTTTCCACCCTCAGCCTTTGTGAGGTAAACTGAAATAAATATACTTGTACCAATCAGGTGTCTCTATGTCGTCTCTGTTCCTCTCTTTCACTCTCTCTCTCTCTCTCTCACTTTCTCTCTCTCACTCACTCACTCACTCACCTTCTCTCTCTGTGTGTGCAGTCGACTCGGAGGAGTCAGGGGCCTGAGCCTGATGGCCCCGCTGACGTGGGTGTGCTGGTGGAGGCGATGCTGGAAAAGTTCAGACTAAAGAGGAGCATCTGGTGGTCCCACAGAAAAATGGTCAAGGGGGATTTTCAGGATGTGCAGGTTTGTGTTGATGACCCACATCGACATATTGCCGGCCGACTTGCCGCTGTCGCTGCTGGCGAAGCTGACCACCGACAAACGGCACCGACAAACGGTCCAAGATGGCCATCATAGGTAGAACGACTGACTTAGTGAAAAGACTGCTGCCGACCCGCCAACGCAACACATTCATTTCCTTTGCTTCCTTTGCAGGGTTGGAAACCACACACAACGACAGCAAGGGAGCCGGCCCCTCGCACATCGCAAAAGACTCAGCCAGTACGTGCCTTCCCCAACGAGAGCAATGCGCCTTACGTCACCCTCCTGCCCTTTTCCATGTGTGTCTGTCTCTCCATCTGCAGAGTCAACTGACGCACGAACACGTGGTACATAGTGGGTCTGTTAACTGTGTGTGTCTGAAGCATGCATGCATCGTGCTCGGCGAATTAATGCATTGGCTGCACACACGGACGTGATGTGACGTGTCATGTGAATGTCTGTAGGTGGGTGGTACGCATTCGTTAACTGTCGTTCGTGGGCCATGAACGACGCAGTGGAGGAGGAAGAGCCTCAGCCGCAGCCGCAGGGACAGCCGCAGGGACATGATGGGGCTGGCGGGGGAGGACAGCAGCAGCAGCAGCAGCCGGGTGGTGTGGTGCAGAAGACTCATGGCCAGTATATGGAGTTGCACGAGTATATGGAGACGATGCTCGTGTTCTTCTACCAACACAAAGGTACTTACTTACGTCCGCAAGCACACACGCACGTTCGTGCAGGGCCCTGCATGCCCGCATATATCCGCTGCCTGTCTGCATGTGCATTCATTCCATGCATCTCTCTCTCTGTATGGTATGTGTCTGTCTGTAGATGCCAACTGGCAGTACATTTTCCGCGACGTGGTCAAAAGGTCTGCCAGGGCTCCGCGCACCCCAAGCAGCGGCCCGTGGAGAAGCAGTACTCCCTCTGGCTGCTGCCCGGACAATTCAGAGTGACCATCCCGCTGGACAACGATCGCATCAGCCGGCTCAACGCCCACCGGTGGGCCAAGATGGCCGTGGTCTGCGAGAAGATACGGCTCATCGCGATCCGGTGGGACAAGTGGCTCCTCCTGAAGGCGCTCTCCAGCAGCGACAAAATCATCACCGTCACCCACAAACACGTGGTAATGTACATACGCATACACACACATACGGTCAACTGATCGGGGTCAGTCAGTCAGATGTGTGTACCTGTCTGTCTGTCTGCCTGTCTCTCTGTCTCCCGATGTGCAGAGTCGTCACCTCCGTACGCCGCCTTGCGGCTGAACGAGGCCAAGGACGGCATCGTTCCTTGGGAGGCTGCCACCACCAGCAAACGAGGCGGCCCCAGCAGAGGCCGTGGCAGAAAGGGTGACGGTGACGAGGACATCTGCTCGAAGGCCAAGGCCATCAAACGATCGGGGCGGCGCGGGGAGATCATGAACGAGACGGAGGCGGCACACGAGCTGACGGCGGGAGGTCAAGGGCGCCACACGGCCGGAGATGTCGATGGGCTGGGGTGGGGTGGGGTGGGGCGAATGGGATGGTCAGTGGATGTTGTTGAGAAGCAAGAGCAGGGGACCGCACCCTACTCTGTCTGAGTCTCTGCTTTGCGGCTGCAGGTTTGTCCGCCAAGGCGGTGGCGACCTGATGGTGGTCCGCAGCACGGCCCCCGACCTTCCTCAAGTCAAGGAACTCCTCAACCACACCATCTACACACACGAGGCGTCTCCCCACGTGGTGCACATCGCCCCAGAGGCCCACGCCACCCACGACACACTGAGCGTCCTCCGGACCATCGCCGTCGCCATTTGGCCCCGCCACGGGCGGCAGGGCCTTGGGCAAGGAGGCTGTGCTCAAGGAGGTCGACGACATGTTTGAGAGGCTCCAGGTGCCAGAGGGCGGGCCTATCGACGAGCGGGTCCTCGTGGACGCCCTCCTGGACAAGATGAAGCGCAGACGGGCCATACGGTACATGCGCAATGCACCCGATCGACCACACAAAGCAAAGGACCAGGGGAGATACGATGAGCAATGCGCTGGTGCGTGTCTCGTGCAGGTTTATCGTGATAGAGGGGATGGAGAAGCTGCCGCTGCCCCTGCTGGCGCAGCTGGCCATACTGAGATAGAACGACTGTCTTAGTGAAACCGCTGCCTGCATTTTATATTTGCCAGTCAGTGTGTCATTGGCTGACAGACATTCCCGTGTCACTCACTGTCAGTGTCAGGGTCACCTGCCTGCCTGCCTGCAGGAGCGACCAATCGGTGGTTGTCTGCCTGCCCTGCCACTCTCTCACAACCTGGCCGACTCACTCATGTACTCTCTCCTTCACTCATTGCCTGCTGGGAGGGAGGGAGAGAGTTGTTTGCGGACACAAGTACATGCAGCACAAGAAAGAAATCAGTGGCAGCTGGGCAGCTCCCCACTTCCTCCCCCCTCCCCCCCTCCCCACAGACACACACGCAGGCGGCTACACAGCACATTCTAGGTGTATGTGTCTTTGTAATCGGTATGTAATCGGTGTGTAGTACTTGTCGCTGACAGTCTGGTGCCCCACTGGTCTGCTGTTGGTTGTTGCACCTACCACATGATGTGATGTGATGTGATGCGATGCCATTGATTCTCTGACACGAGGGAGAGGGCGGGCAAGGGGGCGGGCGGCGGGAGAGACAGCCTTTCATACACTTGACTGACTAAAGATTTGTACATTCACTACAACGTCTGCAGCAATGAAATGACGGTAGCCAACACAAATAACCAGTGACTTGAACAAACAACAACAAATAACTCAAGGCGGCCATTTGTAGTTCGAAATCGCATCCGCACGCGCACCCCAGCGCTCTCTCTCCACACACACACGACTGCCATCGACCACCATCGTCACCCTTCGTGTCGAGAACGTTGGCGAGACGCCTTCTCCCTGATGTAGTCGGAGTACTCCACTATGATGTCAGCTGACCGGTCTCGACTGCGGAGCCAGCGGTCGTAGCGGCGTTGTGCCTCTTCGGATACTGACGGATGGCATGTCACAGACAGACAGACAGACACATTCAGATGGTCACACACACGCTCGCTCATTGGTTGTGTGTGTGGGGTCGGGTTCTTACCGGGTTTCGGCATTCGCCGTCCCTCCAGACGCACGACGAATGGGTCCTTCCGGCTGAGTCCCCTGCACACACACACATACACACAGACAGACACATCACGGAGGGCGAGATGAACACAGACAGGCAGCATCCGAAAGGTGCGCGACCGGCGTGTCGGTGAGCGTGTCGGTGACCACGTAGCAGTACCTGTTTCCACAGACGTCCACGATGCGCTGTGTGTCTTTCGCGTCTTCACAGTTCATCAGTTCACCGCCAGAGCAGTAGACCAAAAGGAACCCCTTGACGTCGGAAATGGTGTCGAAGGCCACGAGCAAGAGCGGGTCCGTGGTTTTTGTCGTCGTACACGAACTGGAAGTACCGAAAGATTCCTTTCCAACTTGACTTTCCTTCCCAACTTGACAACAATTCGAGATATCCGACGTCGTTGGCAGGGCTGGGCCGATTGTCACGCCCACACACGCCACACTCAGCTCAGCTAGCTGATGGTGCCGCCCACAATGCTGTCACAGAAACAAGGCCCCGAGGGCGTCATGAAGCGATGATCCTGCACACACACACACACACATGGACTGTGCCCACACAGCTGTAGTGCACTGCATTGGTTGTGTCGCGTGCCTTGTAGAGAGCGATTTTGTCTGGTGAGGTGCGGAAGTCGGGCTGCACCTTGCTGAAGGGATTCTTCTTGTCATTCAACACCTGTAGCCACGACATCGATCAGATCGACGGCATCCATGCCATGCGAGTGTGTGTGAGTGTGTCCAACCATGACCCACCTCGTCAGGCTCGCCTTCAAGGCCCTCCCACGAATGCGGCCCGATCTGATCAAACAAGGCACACACACACAGACACACAGGCAGGATGTGTGTGTGTGTGTGTGTGTGTCGGCCATCCTCTCTGACGCACCTTGGCCTCTGGCGGCGGCCGGATCAGCTCTGTGTTGCTCTTGTCGGCAGACGACGCACACAAGACCTGCACACACACACACACACACAAACATACATCCAAACAGGTGTCTGTCATCGGCAGACAGAGGGAGGAGCACCGCCGACAGACGCTCACCATGCCGTGTGACGGGAAGCCCTTGAGGTTCTTGGCCTTTAGATTGCACAGCACAACCACCTGCACACACAGACACAGACACACACGCAGACACACAGACTCTCTCTCTCTCTCTCTGTGTGTGTGTGTGTGTGTGGTTGTGCTGTGTGCTGTGCTGTGCTGTGCTGTGTTTGCCTTTGCGTCTTGCATCTGTTGGATGGGCACGTAGGGCACCAGCCCCGATGCGATCTGACGCGGCTTCTCCTCGCCTATGTCAATCTCCTCGCAGTAAAGCCTACACGCGTAGCGACACTCATGTGCACACGCGTGGCGTGGTGTGATTGCCTTCCTGTGTGTGTGTGTGTGGGTGTCTGTCTGTGCGCTGCGCTCACTTGTCTGCCTCCGGGTGCTGCCAGACTTTGGTGATCTTCCCAACGCGCACATCGAGTCGCGTCACGTCCTCAACCGGCCGCTCGGGAGCTGTCACGTCACGAGCACACCGTCACGTCACACGCAATCCAATCAAAACACACAGACACCGACCGATACAGCAGGCGCATAGCATCACGGACGCAGCACAAGGTGGATGGGTGGACAGACAGTCGGATGTGCTACCTTTGTTGTCGGCCCTCTGTTTCTTCTTATCCTCTTTGGCGGCCTTCTTGGCCTTAACACACACACACACACACACACACACACGGCGTGACACACAGGAGAATGGACCAGATGAGATGCGCTCACTCACCTTGGCTTTGTCCTGGTCCGCCACGCCATTGACCATCGCGTCTTTGCTCTTGTCCGCACCAGCAGCTGCATTAGCATTGGCCGATCCAGCAGCAGCAGGCACCTTCCTGACACACAAACGGACAGACAGCACCTTCCTTCTTGTCCAGCACAAGGCTCACTTACGGGGTCGGTGTGGATGTCGACAGAGGTGAGGTGGCCGACTGCCTTGGATATGCCGGGCAGGTGCTGGATGTGGTCGAACCACCGCGTCACATTGCAGTGCGCCAAGCGCTCCTCGGCACTTGCACCCACCTGAATGAACCACATCCATCCAACCTGCCGCAGAGATAGGCATGTGTGACTGTGTGTGTGTACCATACCATCCACTGGTGGACAGCGGGGTAGGTGGCGAGGTCTGCGAGTGTGACGTTGTCGGCCGCCATGAAGGGATACACCCCCTGCCAAAGGTGTAGACTCTGTATCCCGGCCATGATGTGTGTCCACTTCATGGAGAGAATCCTCCACGAAGTGTGTTCAAGTTTGCAACCGACGTAAATGCACAGAGCCAAGTGTGTTGTTCCGCGTCTGCAAATGGCCATTCAGCGTCTGATACACACACCCACACCCACACACCCACACACACAAGAGAGAGAGAGAGGTGTTAGTACTGTCTGACGAGATACGTCTTTCTTTCGTGTGTTATGTTTATATCATCATGGCGGCTGCATCAGGGACGGCATAGTCCCGCTGGGCAAGGAAGGACAACCACTGGTCGATCTCTGCCTGCATCCACCACACACACAGAGGGAGTGACTCACACAGACACACAGACGCCGATCGAGCGTGCGTTTACGGAGTAGGGACGATAGGATTCGCGAGCGAAATGGGATTGGGAAAATTCGCTGGGACAGGCGCGTGACGGCGTTTTCGTGTTGCTTCCGACACGAGCGAGCCACCTTATCATCCTTATGTCAGGCGTCAAGTGGTAGGCACGGCGCTAGCACGGCGCTGCCATATCCATCCACGTATGTATCCTTTCTGCGTGTGTGTGTGCGTGTGTGCGTGTGCGTGCGCCAAGGTCCTTGCCGTGGATCCAGTCTTTCGACAACTTCATCAATGACTGCGCAAAGCCCGTGATCGAATGCCTCGGGTTCGTGCTGCAAGTTCTGGATTGGCTCCGCGGACTCGTGCTGCAAGGCATCGGTTGGTTCCTCGTCACTTTCATCATCAATCCCTTCATCGGAGCCTTCTTTTTCGGGCTGAACATCGTGGGTACCGTGATGGTCGCCGTGACCACCTTGGTGAATGTGATCGTCCTGCTCGGCTGGATCTTCTGCATCGCGGCACTATTCATCGCCTACCTGATAGTGGGCTGTTGTGTAAGAGTCGCCTTCCGCAATTGCGTGCAAGACACCTTCACGGCGGCGGAGGTCATCTTGTTGCACTTCGCCGCCTTGACGGACCCCGTCCCTCTGCCGCCGCTGGGCTGGGTGGACCGCGTGCGACATCTCTTGGTGGGAGTCAGGAATGCAGTGTCAGACGGCGGCGGCATAGACAGCTTGCTCGCGATGGCCCTGCAGCTGCTCAAGGACTATCCTCGGCATTGTATCGTGTGCGCATGGGAGGCCTTGTTGCCTGGCTTGCCGTTTCGCCCGTTTCGATGGATGCCACGTTGCCTCACGTGGTTGGCCTTCCGCGACAGTAGCTCACCAAACCCCCTCGACGGCGCGCCAGGGTACAAACACGCACACAGGCAGGTTGGTTTCACGCGTGCATGTTTGTGTATGCAGCTTTGAGAAAGAAACGTGGATCTATGTGAACGGCATATGCTCGAACGGATGGATCGCTGAGCTCAACGGGAAGCGGCTGCAGGAGCTCTTCTGTAAACGTCCTATCACCGTCATCCACAACCCTACTGACAGTGTTTGGGTCGATGTGCTGGAGACCTTTGTGGGCAAGCTGAAGCTGTTTTCGTGGTGGCAGGTGGAGCCGGAAAAGACGCTTAGGAAAGCGGTGGAGGAGGCGCTGCTCAAATCGGGGGATGCGCTGCTCAAATCGGGGGATGCGCTGCTCGATACGGGGAAGATCAGGGTGGTGCTGATAGCGCATTCGCAAGGGACCATCATTGCCAACAATGTGGTACATCAGATCGCTGACAGTGTGGCCAACGCCAAGGCCAACGACGAGAAAATGAAGAAAATGAAGAAGGGCCTGAGCAAGTTGGAGGTGAGCAGTTAGAAGCAGCCGTACATGACCGTCCAGAGCGTTATGTTGAGCCGGCCGGTGTCGTGTGCAGGTGTATCTGTTTGCGGATTGCGCTCATCACGTAGATGTGGATCTTTTGAAAAGCCTGAACGTCCACATGGAGAGCATCTGCAACGAGCGCGATCCAGGTCAGCCTGCCTTGTGTATGCACACACACAACCTTGACATGTCACTTGTGTTTGAATGCATGCTTACAGTACCGTATCTTGGGAGCACTGTACCCAGTGAAGGGACAATGGAGCGACGTAAATGGAAAAGTGGTCAATGACCGCCCGAAACACCCGATTGTCCAACCTGACAAGCGAGGCCATTTCCTCAACACGCACTACCTCGACAACTTCCGTCGCGAGTACCGGGACTCACGGCTGCACAATTATGAGACACTACCCACTCGTAATTGGGACTAACTAGTCTCTCTTTTTCACGTTTATTTGGTGATTTAGTAAGGTGGTTGAGCCTGGCGCTCTCTTTTTCTACGTCTGTTCAGTGGGGTACATATCGCATGCATGACATGTATTGCCTCTCGATCCTCGTGTTCCTGCGCTGATTGAGCCGTCGCCAACCGATGTGGTAGGCTCCTATCTGCGCCAAGGCGTGCTGTCTTGTGCCGTTGTGATGGGCTGTGTATGTATGTTTCTGACTGCTGACTGATTAGTGCTTTATCAAGCCTGCAGGGGCTTTTGCGTGTTCACGACTGAGGGTAGTCTTCTGTGTGCGTGTGAGCTATGCATGATTGTATGGTAGTGGGGTGACGTCAGAAAGAAAAAGAGAGAGAGATCGACAGAGAGACTGGCGCCGCAAACAAAAGACGGTCATGCGAGACGAGCAGAGACACATGCAGAGATAGGCGACTGACGCGACACCCATCAAGGAAGACATCCATCGGACAAATGTACGTGTGTTTTGATCACATCGAGTGTACGTGTGTCAGTTGAGGTTCCCCCTCGCCGGTTTGATGAGTGTTTTCAAATTCACTGCCGCGCTGCTGCGTATCTCATCAATGGCTTAAGTCACATTGAAGGGCAGTACACACATCTTTAAGAACAAACACCAAACAAACGAGTCACGTTCACGGCCACGCACTCAATCACCCACCCCCCACAAAGCTCTCCCTATCTCATTCTCACCAAGTCCATCCATCCATCCACGCCCATACACACAAACACATCGGATCGTTCAGGCGGCCACGAGCCCCAAAAAGGAGTGCTCGAGAGAGATAATGTCCGGCTGAATGTGCAGGTTCCTGTCGACGCGCGGCGAGTGGTGGATGGTGTGGGGGTGGGGGTGGGTGGGCGGCGACGGCAGCAGGTGCATCGGCGGCGGCAGCTCCATGACGGGCGGCATCAGCGGCGACATGGTGTCCGCACGGGGGAGGGACGTACCCAGCCAGCCCTTCTGATATATCACACACACACGCAGAGAGAGAGACAGAGGGGGGGAGATGCTGGTGTGGTGTGGTGTGTGGATGGCTGGTCGGCTGACCTCCGGCACCATGTCGGTCATGATGTCGGGAATGTCAGTCCACTCCCCGTCGTCATCGCCGTCGTCCTCACACACATACTCCACTTGAGGCCTCGGCCTCGCCATTGCAGCCGCCGCACCACTTGTGCGGCTGCCCGCCCGACCTCTCTGCCTCTTGTTGCTGCTGGTGGTGTTAGTGGTACTGTTGCCCTTCTGCTGCTGCTGCTGCTGCTGCTGGCCCCGCTTGTTGCGCCGGGGGCATCTGGCGTCCCCCGCCTCTGCCACCTGCCGCAGCGCCGCGCCCCCAAACCACGCCAGCATCCCCAGCACGTGTGCCGACGCCACCGGGGTGCTCCCGCCGTTGTTGTCGGGCGACGCGCTGCCCCCCGCCCCGCCTCCCTGCTTGCCGTTCTCGCCTCCGTGTTTGCCGCCCGAGTGCTGGTGGTGGTGATCGCCGCCCTTGCCGCCCTGGCCGCCATGTGGGTGTGTCTTGGGGTTGATCTTGAGGATGTGTTTGAGGGGGTTGTGGATGGCGTAGGACGACTGAGAGTCGGGGGGCTGCGGGTGGAGGGGGTTGACCGTGACGAAGAGGAAGGTCCCGTAGCGCTGGCCGCAGTAGTTCTGCCCCGCACTGCTGCGCCACCGTTGGCTCGTCGCTATGCAGCTGATGTTGGGGCTGATGATCGACATGGACACGGAGAGAGAGAGAGGAACACACAGATGCACGTGTGGTGTCTGTCAGGGGGGAAGGGGATTACCCGAATGCGTTGGGCGCGTTGCCGTCGTGGTAGACGTGGTTGGTGGTGCAGTGCAGGGGGATGCTTGACGGCTTGGCGTTGGGTGGCTCCACCGCCACACAAGTACTGAAGCACACACACACACACACACACACACAGACACACACAGATACAAAGTCACAGCAGCTTGTGTGTGTGTGTGTGTGTGTTTCCATCCATCCATCAGATACGCACCCACCTTTTGCTGAGGAGTATGGGTATGGTCGGCGCGTCGGTGGAGTACTCAGAGGCGTCAGGGATGTGCTGGTGGTAATTCGCCAGCTGAGCCTGCACTCCACCCACACACCAACACACCCACACAGACAGACAGACATGAATCTCCGTGTGTGTGTGTGTGTGCGCGTGTGTGCGTGCCCACGTGTTCCTGGTCTGAGGTGAGTCTGAAGGGGTAGTGCTGGTAAGAGGATATGTCGAGCATGTTGTTGATGTTCCCGTGCTCGTCGCTCTGCGTCGCCTGGTCGGGCGCGTACTTCCACTGCTCGTCAACTGCGTCCACACATCGACACATCGATACCGCCACACACACACACAAGGTATGGATGGATGGGAGGGGCCACACTCTGACAATGACTGACCGATGAACTTGTAGTGGTGCACCCCTCTGGCCAGCTCCAGAATGACCGTGAACTCATGGCCACTGCGCACCTGAGATATTCAACACACCAAACCGCCCCCTTCCCTCCGCACCCCCTCCGTGCACCACCACACCACCACACTCACCAGTTTGATCTTCTGGTCGACGCTCCAGTTGTTGAAGCTCCCGGTGACGTACACATTGTGCCCGCCGTGGCTCCAGGTAATCACACACGGGATCGTCTCGTTGACGTCTATGACGCTCGCCGAGTCCTTCGGCGTCCGCGACGGCGTGGGCGGTGTGGGCTGCAGGAGGTCCAGCGGCGACATCGACAGGGGCGGCAGGCCCCCCGCGGCGCTGCCCTGCCCGTCTGGCGGGAGTCCATGCCCTGGCGCCCTGCTGTCGAGGATGGCGGGCTTGGAGGGGTCGATCAGCCCGGGGATTCCGCTCTGGTGCGCGTCGGAGAGGGCCTGGTGCCGAGACGTTGACGTCTGAGATCCCATGGTGATGACAGACAAAGGGAGTCACGGGCGGTGTGTGTCGGGGTGAGTAACGGCGAGACCGATTGTGAGAGGGAAAGGACAGCTCACGGATCTGGCTGTGAGCACATCGTTGCGCCTGCTCTGGTGCAACGGGGGCTGTACAGCCTTGGCGAGCTTGAGCTCGCAAAATTCTCAGGTTTGTAGCGTCCTGTTCGAGTGATACGATGAGCGTGGGAGAGATGACGCACCTCTACCGGCAGATCTTGAGGACAGCCAACCGGTTCGACGACAAAAACTTCAGGCTCTACTTCATCAGAAGGGTCGGTCGGCGGTCAGCCACTTACTGACAGCACACACAGACACACACACAGAATGGTTTTAAAAGTGTGTTGTGCTTGTGTGTGTGCAGGCCCACGAGGACTTTCGGTCATTCTATCATTCGCAGGAGTCCAAGTCGCTGGGGGAGGAGGGGGAGGGGGAGGGGCGGCAGTCGTTTTTGCGCAGGATGGAGGAGCACCTGGCGATGCTGCAGCGACAGACCGCCATCGGCCACATGTACTGGCACGAGGGCATCCATGCCAAGAGATAGCTAGATAGTGATGACCATGACGGTGCTTGGTTGGTGCCAAGGGGTGTGTGCTGTGCGATGGTGTGCTAATATATTATGCGTGCGTTTCTGTCGATATGGCTCTTGTATCAAGATCATGATGAGAGAGAGTTTTTGACACTTCTTTCCCTCTCACTGTGCGTCTGTGGACGGACCTCAATGAGGTGACTCTCCCTTGATGTGCTCAACTCGAGCACCAAATTGATGGATGGATGGATGGGCGGGAGCGTCACACACACACACACACACACACAGATGCAGAAACACACGAAGCCATGATCTCTCGCACAAGCACTGTTCATTCGGTCTTGCTGCTGCTGCTGCCGCTGCCCTTCGCTACCATCTTCTCTCTCCTGACCCGCGAGAGGACGCCCACAAAGCCATAGAGCAGGGTGGCGTTGAAGGCCAGCTGCACCACCGTGCCCATCATGCCGCTGCACCGATGGCCTGTGGGTGGAAGGAACCACACACACACACTCATCAATCGCAGAGGACAGACAGCCGCACCTGTCTGTCTGTTGGGTCAATCAGAAGACTTGATGACCTACCTGTTGTGTGAAGCGTCACAGTCACGGCGGCGCACGCGAATGACGTGGCGAACTGGACTATCTGCAGCTGCGTGATATACCTAAACACACACACACACACACACACATTGGTCCATCCATTCAGCCATCCAGCCGTCTACGAGTGTGTGTGTGTGGGTGTAGGCGCCCCCACCGACCGACCGTTTCCACCATGGGTCGATTCCGACTGACTTGAGGGCGAAGTAAAGGTACATGACCACATGCACCAAGCAATTGAACACCTGGCCCACAAACTGCATAAACCGGCACACAACACACAAGTGAGCTGAACCAGACGCACACACACACACACACAGAGGCTCTCTCTCGCTCTGTCTGTGTGTCTGTCTGTGTGTCTGTCTGTCTGTGTGTGTGTGTGTAGTAGTCTGGTTACTTACGATGAGTGTGCCGACGGTGTCGATCCACAGCCACACGGCCAAGACGATGCCAGCGTGGTGATAGACATGCAGCAAGTACGACGGGGGACGGCGGCCCTTCAGCAACTGACACACACACACACAGACAGACAAAGGAGAGAAAGGAACAAGACAAGAATGGCACCATCTCTCTGTCAGTCACACATTCGCCACTGAGTGGTCTGTCTCTTTGTGACCACAAACTGAGTGACCTGCAGAATGGTGTCGAGAAGCTCCCAGTACTTGGACACATAATACACATACCTTCACATTCACACACACACACAGACACGTGTGTGTGTGTGTGGGCAGGGCATGCAACACACAGACACAAAGGCCGAACGAATGGCACTTACACACTTACACCCAGAAATACAGCGGCCCCCTCGCCGTCGTCCCCTCCACCTCACACACCAGCCACAGCGCACTGCCGTCTGCCGCCACACGCCGCCCCGCCTCACACACGGTGCCCACCAGCATGATCAGAGAAATGACACTCAGCAACGCATTGTGCACTGCAATGCAACCAGACAGACAATCTGCCTCTGTCTGTGTGTGTGTGTGTGTGTGTTGATGACCACACGCGCAGAGCATACCAGCCTGAATGGGGCCAATGTGGGAAGAAAGTCCGGCGGCGGCTCCCTTGCCGCCGTCGGACCTCCGCTGCACACACAGCGCGTCAAGGGAGAGGACGAGGCCCACATACACACACACACCAACCTGACACACACACAAGACCGACTCTGCACTGCTGTCTGTCTGTCTGTCTGTGTGCGCATCTGTCTGTCTGCCTGTGGATGTGATGTGGATGGCGCACCTACCGTCGGTGTGCGGACGTCGCTGAGCGGTGCGTCGCGCCAGTCGAAGGACAATGGATCAGACAGCGTCGTCACAAGCGATGCAGCGGCCTCCATCTTGCAGCCACGCACCGACACAAAGGCAGACGATGGGCCTTGCAGTGCCCTGTTGGCGAAGATCTGCTTCTCTTCAAGCGAGCCTAGGGTGCGAGCTTGTGGTCGCTGTGGTGTGTGGAAAAAAAGTTGAGAACCACACATTCGTAGAGCTCACGGGATACAGGCGTGACAGGTTCGCCCGGATCTGCCGAACGACCTGTTCGCGACAGCCTTTCCGCGCTTGAGAGACATCTGCGGCCTCGAGGACGGCCACAGAAGCAGCACACGCCAGCCGAGGGGCGCATGCACCGCACCGCTCCCCCATTGGCCCGCTGACCGGCCCCCGTTCACCGTCGACGAGCGGCAACTGCATGCGGATGCCGTAGAGGCGAGTCGACTTCAGTCGAGTGTTTGAAGGAAAGGAGCCTCCGATAGAACCGACTCGTCTGACAACGGATAGAGTGCGTCTCTCTCGTCATGGAGAAGGAGGACGAGAGAAGGGATGAGCGAAGGGAGGAGAGGCGCGAGGAGAGAGACCGTCATGACGGCGAGGAGTCGTCTGTGGCTGGCGACGGAGAGGGCCGCAAGGCCTGGGCGGACGTGAGCGACGATGAGGACGTCCTGCCGCACCACCAGCACCACCAGCACCGCGGCGAGAGGGGAACCCCGCAAAGGCGCGACGGTATGCATGTCTGTGGGCGAGTCACTGAATCGATGGACACAGCCTGGTCGATCCCTCGTGTGTGCGTGTGGCTTGGTGGCTTGCTTGGTGCAGAGGAGGAGGATGAGGGCGAGCGCTATGGCGAGCGAGAGCGTGGCGGTGGCGGCGGAGGTGGGCGTCAGCGTGGTGATCGGCCCTCTCGTCCGGCGGGCAGGGACCGATATGACGACTATGACGATAGACGTGAGTCGAGTCGAGTCGAGGGAGTGACATCCACACACACAGACACAGACACGGACACAGACACGGACAGGCGTCAGTCACATCATCTGGTGTGTGTGCAGGTGGTGGTGGTGGAGGTGGTGGGTATCGTGACCGCGGCGGCTATGACGACTACGGCAGGGGCGGTCGCGGCCCGCCCCCGCCGCGCGGCGGGGGACGGGACAGGTACTACGAGAGGGAGAGGTGCCCGCCCATCCCGGAAACCGTAAGCACCACATGTGATCCATCCATCCATCGATCGACCGAATGGTTCGTGTGCTGGTTGGTCAGTATAAGGGCCCCTATTGTTTGATGCTGCACAACATTCCCTACGAGGCCATTAGGCGCGACGTGGAAGACTTCCTCAGACCTTGCAGAGTCAGACAGACAGCACAGCACAGCCAGACAACCCTCCCTCGCTCGCCAACCTTGGCTGTGCATCTCTCTCTCTCTCTCTCTGTGTGTGTGTGTGTGTGTGCGTGTGTGTGCGTGTGTGTGCGTGTGTGTGGCTGTGCAGGCGGACCACATAAGGCTGGACCTCGACCCTCGCAATCCTAGCAAGAATGTCGGCAGATGTGAGCAGCCACACACACACACACACACACGCCACGCGCCTCACCGCTTTATCTATCATATGTCTGTCGCCCACACTCACTCAGGTTACGTCGAGTTCGACGACCGTCGCGACTTTGAGGATGTGTGGAAACTCGAAGGAGAGGTGCGGACACACTCACACACAATATGTCTTCAATCACACGCAGGCACACACTGACTGCCTCCCCTCCATGGGTTTCAGAGGATGCTCGGCCGCGAGATCCGCATCAGCCTGGCCGACGAGATGAAGGGCGCCATCGGCGGCCGGGGGGCGCCTGGCGGCCGACGCGACGACAGAGACAGACCTGGATACGGCTTCACGCGCAGAAGGCAAGACTGACAAGCCCACACACACAGACAGGCAGCGCACAGATCTTTGTGTGCATGTGTGTGTGTGTGTGTGTATGTGCAGCAGCAGGGAGGATGACTATTATCGTGACTCTGACTACCATCGCGGCTATAGCTATGGCGGTGGTGGTGGCGGTGGCGGTGGCGGTGGGGGCCGCGACAGGTACCCCAACCTCGGGCGCTCGGACAGAGACCGAGACGGTGGCTACAGGGACAGGGAGAGGGACCGGCGGCCGTCATACGGCCGATACGACGACAGAGATCGGGACAGAGACAGAGGTAAGCAAAGCCATCCATCCATCCATCCCTGGCTCCACCCACACCTGGATGGCGTGCATTTCAGGCGACATGACCCCAGCGAGCAGCGTCAGCCACGGCGGGCGGCACGTCCACTCGCCCAGCGAGACCCCCAAGTCGTCGGCACACGGGGCGACGGCAGCAGGGGAAGACAAGCCCTTCCACCCGGTGCAGCACCTCCACCTCGACAAGCCCAAGGGGCCCATCGACACACCCGCATCGCTCCCTAGGCAGTGAGTCAGTCACTTCTTCATAAGTGCTGTGCTCGCTCGGCTTAAGAGCTTGATTTGTCATGGTGGCTGGTGGTGTGCATGCTATGCTCATCTGAGTCTCTCTCTAACTGTCTGTCTGTGTGTGTCTGTGTGTGTGTGTATTAGGGGCCGCACAGCGTCGATATTCGGCACGGGTAAGCCTCGCGATGAGAAGGAGATCCAGCAGCGGAAACAGGTGAGGCGTCTAGCAATCTCCCTCCCTCCCCGCCGCCTCATCTCACCACCCCACCACCCCACCATCCATCCATTCACTGATTCATTGGCTGCAGGAGGAGAGGGCCAAGGACGACCCGCCCACGCCCGCGTCGGCGTCTGGGTCTGCCTCTGCGTCGGCGGCACACGCCCATGACGACCCACATGACCACCACGGTCATGGACACGGACATGGACATGGACATGGACATGGCGGCAGCGAGTTCCATCAGGAGGAATGGGACAAAGGGCAAAGGTACGCTTCCCTCCCACCCCTCCACAGGACTCACCCCCGACACGCACTCTCACTTTGCTACTGTGTGTGTCTGGTGTCTGCTGTCTACTGCTCAGGTCACAGGGCGAGCCCAAGCACACCCACACCCACACGGACAAGGAGGGTGACGACGACGACGACCACCACGACCACCCCCCTGGCCAGCCCACCCCGCCGGCCGTGTCGGCTACAGCGGCCATCAAGCCCTCAGGGGGCGGGGGCAACTACTGGAAGGACCGAGAGCAGCAGCACCAGCACCAGCAGCATCATGGCGAGACCCTGCCGTCCGGCTCGCTCATAACGCCTCAGGGGGTGGTGCCCCGCTCACACCCGCCCCCGCCCCCCTCCCGTCCGCCACCGCCTGTCGACGGTCAGTCTGTGTGAGAGGAGAGAGAGGTCCATCACGGCCAACAGAAGTGACAACACGCCTTCTCTCTCTCTGTGTGGGTGTCTCTGGGTGCAGCAGATGAGTCACCACCCAAGCAGGAGCAGCAGCCGGCATATCGCATCCTCAAGAGGGAGGACGTCCCTCCCCATCATGCCGCCGACTATGGCGACGACAACCATCAGCATGAGGGCGATCATGGTGAGGGCGACAGCGACGGCCTGTTCGACCAGGAGGAGGGCGACGAGTGGACCAAGACCACCAAGACGCCCAAAAACATGAAGTGGCAGGCCAAGCGTGAGAATGAAGAATAAGAGCATCTGCTAGTGTGTGCAGGGGGTGAGGTGATATGTGTGGGTGTGTGTGTGTCACCGTGTGCGTCAGGTTCGGAAACCGACCTGTCGCCGACGGACCACGGCAAGATAGCAGAGATTCCTGAGGCTAAAGGTGGGTTTAGGTGCGAGCGACATGGACACGCGGACGCACTCACCACCCGCCACAGCCACAGCACCTTTCTCTGTGTGTGGGTCCATGTGCAGCATCGCCCGTCACACCCCCTCCGCTCAGCAGTGGTGGCGGCGGCTCTGTGTGGGGCCGCCCGGGACCATCATTCGCCGCTGTCGTCAAAGGCGAGTCGGCCACTCCCCCTTCGCCCGCTCCCCCAGCAGCCCCAATCCGTTATATCAACAACACCACCAGCAGCAGCAGCAGCACCACGAGAGGCCGAGGGCGGGCCAACGGGGCCTTCAACAACACCAGTACCAACAGCAATAATCAGGCCATCCGGCCGCCACCATTGGGCGGTATCGGAGGTGACCACAAGCCTCCGCTGATTCTGAAGGTGCCGCAGGGGGGCCCCCCGGTGCCCTTCGACGAGGGCGTGCACATGCAGCAGCCGGTGCCCCCGATGGTGGGAGGGCCGCGGCCGCCGCATATGGAGCATCGTGGCCGTGGGAGGGGTTTGTTGGGGAGGGGGGCGGACGGCATGGAACACCGAGGAGGGAGAGGGGGCGGCCGCGGTGGAAGGGGGAGAGGAGGTCAGTCAGTCGCGCGCACACACACACACACACACACGCACGACTGATTGATACCTACCAAAGACAGAGACAGAGAGTGAGGGAGACGATGCTCTGTGCCCTTTCAGGTGATTTCTACGGCAACGCCTACGATGAGAACTGGCGGACCGGTGCACCCACACCACCCAGAGGTAACCACACATCAGACCAGACGGGCAGGAACCATCCCTCAATGTGTTGTGTTTCTGCAGGCCGTGCTTTCCCACGCGGCGGTCGTGGTGGGCACCCTCGCGGCCGCGGCGACTGGGCTGCCGGCCCGACCACACACGACGGTGACGGCATCCTGGGGCCGGGAGGAGGTCACGGGCTCCACGGCCATGACGGCCCCGGTGACGCGCAGCACGATGGCGACCAGCAGATGGTGGGGTCGCCCACGTACAACCAGTCGTCGCAGAGGACGCCCACTGGCAGGGGAGGCAGAGGGGGCCGCGGCAGAGGTCAGTAACTAATACACACACAAACCAGACGACAACCAACCAACACACCAGAACCGCACTGCTTGCTGGACTACATGACACTTCGCTCGCTCAGGTAACCTCGGTTATCGCCCCAAACAGGGCAGCCCCTCGCCCACGTCGTCCCCTCATCCAGCCGACTCGCCCGAGCCGCAGGTGGACGGCCACGGTGGCCGGGAGGACAACAGCCCGGCTGCCCCTGCTGCTGCCGGTGGTGCTGGAGCTGGGGGGGAGGGTGGTGGTGGTGGTAGTGGCGGTGGTAAGGAGGGCATTGTGCGTCGTCACGACGAGCTGTCGAGTCAGAGCACCCTGCCGATGGTGGGGTCCATCTCCATCAACGGCAAGGGCAACGAACACCTCACAACCGGTACGCTGATCAGAGAGAGAGGGAGAGGGATGGACGGACGGATGGATGGATGGATGACCCCATGTATCTCTTCCTCTGTGCGTGTGTGTGTGTGTGTGTGTGCAGCGTCTCGCCAGCAGGCCGACAAGGAGGAGGGTGCCGCCAGTAGTAAGGGTGCTGGCGGCGGTGCCCCTGGCAAGAAGGGCTCCTCCAAGGGCAGCAGCGGCGTCTCCGCCAACAACCCCTTCGCCGCCCTCCAGAACGATGATGACGACGACGACTGACTGACTGCCTGACGAGCGGCATCCGGGCGTCCCGTCTCGTCTCCCTCTGTCTCTCTGGCTCTCTCTGTGTGTCGTCAGTCCCACACTCATTCGGTAGTCACCTTAGATGTACCATTAGCAAGGGGTGGGTGTGGGTGTGGGGGTCGGTGTGTGGGTGGGCAGGATGGATGGATGTGATGGCGGCTTTTAAGAGAGGGAGAGAGGGGGATGTGTGGGCGGACGATGGTGGGGGGACGGCGGTGGGTGAGGTGAGATGGTGGGTGGATTGAAGACACCTGAGTGACACGATGGATGGATGGATGGATGTCGCACTCGCTTCGCTTCTTTTTGTTGACTGCATTGTTGAATGTTGTCGCCTCCAGAAGCCCGCCCTCACTCAGTCAGCTGATTGTATCTATATTTATGAGGTAGTGTGTTTGTGGTATGTGTATGGTGTGCTCTTCCTCTGCTCGAGCGCTCGCTCAGTGGCTGTGCACTGAGCGAACCGCTTGAGATGAGGTTGTGCACCACACGCACACACTACACAGACACACACACACACACACACACAATGGCAATGGAAAACATCGACACACTCGACGGCTCACTGACGGCGATTGATTATTTCATCGCCGTGTTCATTTCTTGGACACCCCACAAACCAAACCCACTTGGATGGATGGATGGCTAGATGGCCGGCTGGAGGGATGGTTAACTGAGTGGGTACCGGTCTGGGGCGTGCACGTGTGTGTATGCCTGTGGTGCGATAGAGGCGACTGGCTCACCTAGTGGCAGGCAGGCACGTTCCCAGTGGCAGGCATTCAGGCAGGCAGGCAGCTTGACGTGACTTAAGTCCCCATGCATGTGGATCTCTCTGTGAGCTTACGTGTGTGTGTCTCTCTCTGCCTCTCTGTCTGTCGGTGTGCTGACGAATCAATCCCTGCTGTTTAACCCATGGACACACACACACGCCCTGCACCCTGCACACTGCACTGCCGGCCCCCCAATCCAAGCCGCAGCCCCACACAGACAGACACACCAGGTTGACTGACACGTGAGATCATTGATCATCTTTGGGCGGCCAGATCGGATCGGCCTGCCTTTTCAAAAACAGCACTGTGTCGGTCGTTGAGGGGAAAACAAAAACCTTAAAAAAACTCGGAGTTCTTCTCGGGTGGATGGAAAAGTGCTGCTGTCGGTAGTGGGTGCCGCTGCCCGGCACTCACTTCTTGACTGCATTGCACCCCCCCACACACCCACGCAGAGAGACAACAAGTACACCAAGTTGGTTGGTGCTATTTCTATGTCTCTCTCTCTCTCTCTCTGTCTCTCTGCACCCACCTTTTTTGTAGCATTTGGGGCCCTTGCCTTTGGCGCTATAGCAGCACTTGAGCAGCTGCAGACAGACAGACAACAGCAGCACAGACACCAAGCACATCACATGCATATGCGTCTCACCTCACCCACACTCATCCCCATTCATTGTCACCCATTGTCAATGATCAGTGGTCACTCACTTTGCAGGCGAACTGGCCGGTGCCCTTATTGCCGCAGCGCTTCTTCTTCTTGACCGGCACGTTCTTGCAGGTGCCTACACACACACACAAACACACACACACAAAACACCGAGAGAGAGACACAAGCCATCCATCCAGCCATCCATCCATCCACGAACGGTTCGGTGGGAGTCTTTGTGCACCTTTTTTCGGCGGAGCGGTCATGCGCTTGAACTGCACCTTGGGCTTGACGGGGACGGGCTTGCGGCCCTTGATAATTTTCATCGCGTTGATGATCTTCTTCTCGCCCTGAGAGACACATATAATACACAGACAGACAGGCACACAGAGGGAGGGGGGAAAGGCTGGCTGGCTCGCTGGCTGCCATCTCTCATCTCTCTCTGTGTGCTGTGTTGTGTTATGTTATGTTATGTGTGTGAGGGTGCTTGCCTTAAGTGATGTGATGCGCAGCTTGAGGGGCGGCTTGATGAGGTTCTTGGGCCACTTGCCGGGGATCTGGCTCGTCTTGATCTGACATGCAGGCATACACGCATCGCATGTACGTGTCTCGCCTGTCCCGTTTGTTTGAGTCTCTCTCTCTCTCTCTCTCTGTGTGGGTGGGTGGGTGGGTGGGTGAGGAGGCGGCGGCGCCTTCCTTGTCCTAGGCACCTGGAAGAACCCGGCTTTCCATTTGAGGTTGAACCACTTCTTGGCGTTGCGGTGCCAGTACCTGACCGACGGCACACACACATCCACAACATCCACACACACATTCAACTCTCTCTCTCTCTCTCGAGTCGCTCGTGTCTCCCCGACTCACTCAGTTTTGATGGCCGGCATGGGCATGTTCCGCGGCTGCACGCCGATGTAGTGCACGCTAGACGCGTCGTCAAATATGATCTGCACACCCGCCTTGCCGGGGTTGCAATCCTGCGCACGCACAATCGCCCACACCGCACGGAAAGGCAGTCCGAGCAAAATGGACAAATGGATCTCTGTGTGTGTGTGTGTGTGGGGGGGGGGGGGGGGGGGGGGG